AAACGAGCATAAAGTATGAAAACTGGTAAGATCATTGTACGGGCTGAAACAAGCGCCTAAACAATGGCATCAGAAGTTTGATGAAGTTATCTTTTCCTATGGTTTTGCCTTAAACCAATGTAACAAATGTGTTTTTATAGCAGATTTGATGCTAAAGGAGCTGGTGTGATCATTTGTTTGTATGTAGATGACATGCTGATTTTTGGAACTGATCAAAATCAGGTAGATGAAACTAAGAAATTGTTGGCATCTAATTTTTCTATGAAAGACATAGGAAAGGATGATGTAATTCTTGGTATAAGAATTAAACGGGATAACCAAGGGATTGTAATGACAAGTCACATTATATTGAGAAAATTCTCAAGAAGTTCAACTATAGCAATTGTTCTCCCGTAAGCACGCGAATGGATCCTAATGTGAAATCAATGCCAAACAAGAGCATGTCTATTTCACAACTAGAATACTCAAAGGGCATTGGTAGCTTGATGTATGACATGACGAGCACAAGGCCCGAAATAGCATATGGTGTGGGATGGTTGAGTAGGTACACTAGCAATCCTAGTACTCAACATTGGCAAGCGGTTCAATGAGTATTTAAATACCTTAAAGGAACCATGACTTATGGTTTGAGTTACTTGGCACATCCTTCGGTTTTAGAAGGTTACTCGGATGCAAGTTAGATATCCAACATGGAGGACCACTCCTCAACTTAGTGGTTGGGTATTTTTGCTTTGGGGAAGAGCCATCTCTTGGGCATCCAAGAAGCAAACTTGTGTTGCGAACTCAACAATGGAATTTGAGTTTGTGGCATTAGTTGCTACTAGTAAAGAGGCGGAATGACTAAAGAATTTGATTTATAAGATTTCATTGTGGTCAAAGCCGATTGCAACTAGTTCTATCCATTGTGATAGTACAACCATGTTAGACAAAGCTTATAGCCAAGTTTATAATGGCAAGTCTAGACACCTAGGTGTTACACAATATGATCAGAGAATAGATCATGAATGGGGTAATTTCTATTGAGTTTGTTAGAAGGCAACAAAATTTAGCAGATCATTTAAATAAAGGTCTGACTAGAGACTTAGTGCACAAGTCTACAATTGGGATGGGATTGAAGTCCTTATAACTTTACAATGGTGAGACACCTAATTCTCTTCTAATATGATATTGGAAGCTGAATTCAATGTGGAAAGCTCACACTTATAAATTGGAACACAAGATTGATTCATCCCGGGTTTGTGTTCGTTGTGGGAAGGTTAAAGTTTATGTTCTTAATAATTGCTTTGATAGAGTGTATATGCAGGTACACGAAGTAAATTAATTACCTATGTGATTGTGAAGTGTAGCTACACTTCAACAGGATTGGGGACTTGGCCCTTCTATACATTCATGAGAGGATTAGGACACATGACTTTATAATAGTGTCAGTTTATTTTGCTAAAAGAGTACTGTAAAGTTGTATGTATTTTATCTTCAGGTATTCAAATGAGTTTATGGGTTCAATCCTTAGGACACCTTGATTCTTAAGTATTTGAAATGTGTAAAATGCTAAAATGGAAATTCAATCGATTCGATATTTTCATTTATGTGCAAGTTCAGTTTGTTCATTTCAAAGTGTTATTTCATGGGTTACGCTAAAATGGGGGGAGGATTGTTGGTGATTTTAGTGTCACCTGGCCATTTAAGTGTAATTGGAAGTAACATCGGGTTCTAAGGGGGTTTTATTCTGTGTTCTGATACAAGTCAGGAGGTGCAGAGTGCACACTTGTTAAAAGACGAGTATGACCTTAGTGGGAGTTAAGGGGCTGCACCCCTTGCATTGTAGTGGAAAAATTGATCATAAGGACCAGAGGGGGATTAGAGATGGACCAGAAATGCCTTAATGCAGAGCTCTATATAGGTGAGCCAGAGGCTCTGCATGGTGCTCCGTGCGATCAAAACCTCAATTACCAGAGCTCGCGAAGATCAGACTTCACGATGGATAGGAGATGGACCAGAGGATTAAAATCAAAGGCTCTGTTCCTTGTCTATAGTTGTTAAGGACTAGTCCAGAGGGGCTCTGGTCGGCCTTGCCTCTGGATGATAAGGACGACCTTAAGTCTAATTGTTAAGGACCAGAGGATCTGGTTGGTAAGACCAGAGGCTCTGGTTCCTTGCCTCTAGTTGTTAAGGTCTAGAGGAGTTCTGGTCTGCGTTGCCTCTGGTCGTTAAGAACCAGAGGCTCTAGCTGGTAAGACTAGAGACTCTGGTTCCTTGCTTATAATTGCTAAGACTTGCCTCTGGTTGGTAAGACCAAAGGGATTCTGGTTGGTCTTGTCTCTATCATATCAGTTTGTTTCATTTTCATTTATCATGAAAAAACTATAAATTACCCGTGATATCACTTCCTCCCAGGTTGATCCTATGACCTCTCAGGAGTCTGAGATGATGGACTCCGCCCCCTCCCCTGTTGTCCAATGATGTTCTTTCCCTTGTGGTCTTCCCTTGGTCTTGTTCTTGTGATGTCCTTTGAGCTTCTTTGTTTTCCCGATTCTCTAGGTTCAGTCTAGGGTGTGCCTGCTTTAGTCCCCTTTTCCTGCCCTTTGTTGTTTTCCCCGTTTGTTGCCCAGGCTTGGCTCGCCTAGGATCTTCCTTGTGGTTGGTTTCTGTCTCTTCTCCTCCTTTGTTGGTCCCTTCCTTCCCCTCAAGGTGCCTTGGTTCTACTCAGATGGATGTGGTTCGCCCCCACCCAAGCACGTAATTTGTCCTAGCATTTTTGTTTGTGTTTTACTTGATAGGAGGGGTCTCCCCTTTCATACCAAAAAAAAAACTATAAACTGTTTTTTTTTCCAAATCATGAACTGGTCCATAATAATTATTATTTACTGAATGGATCTCATACCTTTTAGTAGTAAGTTTTTACAAGATTATTAAAATTGTCGGCTTTTAAAATATACAATTTAACATTAACGATGATCAATATACAATGTAATGAAAATAGATATCACAATTATGAGAAATAAAAAAATTAAAAAGAAAACGTTAAACACAAAAAGATATTTTGTTTGTTAAAAGATTACAATCTATCGATATTTTTTTTGAAATTGTTCTAAACGCATCTCATATAAGTTACAAATTTGGTCTTTGTGGATTGTCGACTGTCTTTTGATATGTGTCGAATTTAGTCCCCACATTGTTTTTGTAAGAAAAGCCCTAATTAGTCTTTTGTGTCTGATTCGTTAAAAGATAGGATCCTTCAAGTTGTTTGTTTTTTCCAATTTTTTAGAGTTACTTATGTCTTATTCACTTCTTATAAGAGGTAAACCAACCTCTTATTTGTCTCTTATTGTTCTTCAAACTCTTATCAACGACATTTCTTAATCCATTAAACTTTAATTGATCCTTACCAAATCAATCATCATCTGTCTCAATTGATGTATTTTAATAGGATTTAAATGTGTTAAATTCCGTTAATGATATATTTATGTTTAAATGAATGCTAATTATATCATTTATATGTGAATTTCGTAATGATGATGAATAAATATATGAAATTGTATAAATTTTTATCTATAAATTTAAAACTATAATTTTCTAATTGATAAAATAGATAACTTAAACAAATTCAGACATTTATCAGTTTACAAAAACAAACAGTTTTATTGATTCAAATTTCAGATTTTAACATCAGCTCTTATTAATCAGAAGTGAAATAAGATTTCATATTTCAATACCTCTTAAAAAACAAATGTCACATTAAAGTTTTCTCTTAATTTTTCTAATTTTAAAGAATAATATAGATAATTTGTTAGAACAAAATAAAAAAAGAAAATCTTTATTTTCTTTATTTAATAAAATCTATTGGAGATATTTTGAAAAGCTTTTGTAACTTTTAGATAGTTTACTTATGCACATGAACTATAAATATTAGTCCCTAAAATAATCACATTGTTTCTGTTATTAGTCCCTAGTGGTAAAGGCTTGGGCATGACATAGTCATGAACTCGAGTTCGAACCCTGGGAGAGGAGTGTTGGTGATATTTAAGTTGGGCCATGTTTAGCCTCCAAATTTGCCGGGGATTAGTCGGGCTTTGGCCCCGACACCCTTACAAAAAAAAAATATAATAAAAGATTTAATGTAGATTTGCACCAACAAAGTTTATATACCAAAATGCAATTTGACTTCATTAAGTCAAAACTATTTACAATTGTTGAGTCAATTTCTTTTGTAACCATGTATACCAACTTTAATTCTACACCTATATTTCTTATCTTTTATTAAATACTTATCTGATAAACGTTTATCGACTTATTTACTTTACTGGATGAACATGGTAAAAATTGAAAACCCGGTCAGATAAAAGCAATGACAAGGACCGAAAATCTTACTCGTTAAGTGAAGGTAACAACTCTAACCCTATTAGGGTTTATCGGGCAAATTATCACATATGATGTCTTTTTGATGAACTAGAACCTTACCTGGTAAAGTAAGTAAGAATATTGAATCTTAACGATAAACACTTATCGAGAAAAGCATTTAAGTAAACAACGATTCCCAAACATATATCAAAGTAATGTTCCATGAGTAAACAATAGTAGTAGCTTTGATGGATTTGAAGCGATAGAAGTGTCTTCTATGCTTCTTAATTTACAATTTACATGAAAATAAAATATATTTTCATTTTAATTGTCTATTTTTATAAATTCTCGTCAAATGTTAACGGTATAAGTTTGGGCCCAAATAATTTCCGATGTGGGTCCTACATCATAAGCTATATAGCATGTGACTTTGAAACTCGTTTAACAAAATGTCTTAAACTACACCATTAAATATAGATTCTAAATTTGTAACTTAACCAACAAACATGTTATTAACAGTAACAATTAAGTTGGTAGCCAACATATTCAACACTACATGTGTATGGGATTCAACACTTCCTAACTTCACATGCATGCCTCTTTTGATTACCTTGTAAAAGAGATGTCACCAGTCGGTCCATATAACAAGTTGAATATCCAGGTTAATAAAAAAAAATATGCTTTAAATAAAAATCAACACACCCATAAATTGGTTGTTCCCATCATTTGAAATGAAATTAAACCGCCTCCATAACACCATTCTTGGTATCAAGATACACTATTGACTATACTTATACTATATATATATATATATTATGTGTATATATAACTATCCTCCTCTTACATAAGAAAATAATAAATAATGTCTTTTTCTTTGTTTCATTGTTTATGAGGTATTAATGCATAATCCTGAGTTGACGGCCATGAAAGTTGTTCTTTAGTCTTGTAAGCTGTTTTCTTCTCTTCCTGGCTTCAGCAGCAGCTGTATCACCTACTCTTTTACCTGCTGACCACACAACTGGAATTTGTTCACTCCTACTACCATTACCCTTAATATCATCTTCTTTTACTTTTATCAAATTATCATTATTATCAGTATCATCACAACTCACAGGTGCCATAGCCTCTGTTGTCCCTCCACCGCCCCCATCTGGAGGGAAACCGCCCCTCTTCGAAGGTGAACCTTCTTTCGACACCTTTTCAGGGAAGAGCTGCTGCTGCTGGCATTCTGAAGATGACTCTTTTGGTTTGTCATTTAGATTGAAAGAATGAGGGCGGCCGTGGCCGTGGTCATGGCCGTGGCCGTGGCCATGGTGATGGTGTTCGCTACCACCGCTACCACCACTTTGAGTTTGAGGTAGACTAGTAGTAACAAGCCAAGGGTATGGGAGTAAATATACCGGACCTGCGGCCCCCATTGAATTCCCTTCTTCACAAGATGATGAATCAGGAATATGAGATGGGAAAACTATTCCCCCACATTGTAACTGGACTGAATTCGGCCATACGAATGGCAAAAACGGAGGCTGGTTGTAAATGATGAACGGAGAATTTGTGGATGACGCAGAAACGGTCGGTTCATTTGTGGCATTCGACTCTTCTCCCGCTTCAACATTCATTACCTTAACCATCTACACCAATAACAATAATGAATCCATATAAAATGGATGAATCATCGTAAACTATCAAACAAATCCCCGTATCTAAATTAACATATTTTCACCTGTGCTTTTAAGCATTCGTTCTTCGTCTTCAGAGAATCATACTTTTTCGTAGCCGTCTCCTTCTCCTAGTAAAAAGAACTTCATTTGAGAACAACCAACATTGGATAGGAATCTTCAAGGAGAAGAAATTGGGGGATAAAGAACAAACCTTTTTCAAATTTTCATTCTCCCATGCTAGATCAACTGCCTTTCTTGTTAGCTCCTCAAAAATGGCCTAAAATCGTCATAAAGAGAAAAACCAACCTCAATAACGCTCGAAATATATCTATACGATTAGAAAGAAAACAGCATTAGATTTGAGAAATAGTCGATACCTGGCGCCTATGGATTGTCTGTCTAGCCGACTCTCTATTTGCTAGCACCCTGCGTATTTTACGTGCTTCCATTTCAGCCTGGCTCAAGAAAGCTTTAAAATGAGCATGAATGCGGAATCGAATACAAAACCACAGCAGATTTCGTCCATACCTCGGTTAGATTTTGTCTAGATTTCCTCCCACTTGATGCATGATTTGTGGGATAAGTAGGATTTAGTCTAAGATCAGTGCTCTGTTCATCCTTCACTGACTTTGAAGTCAAGATGCCCAACTTCTCGGGCTCCTTTAGCATAAAATTAGTTGCATCCTGCTCGTTAGAAGAAAAAACACAAAAAAATGTTCAGATCCTGCAAATTCTAGCAAACATAGAACACTATCACATATATCACTACATTTTGGGCCAGATCAATGTTGCTAAGAACTTTTTCTTTTAAAGTATATAATATTTATATACATTTTGGTGAGGTTTGAACCCTAACCTCATAGGAGGCAAAGACTACGATACCGCTAGGCCAAGACCTTTGGTATGTTGCTAAGAACTTTAAGCACATAAAATGACAAAAGTCAAGAGACAAAAGATCCAAATCTTAAAGATCAACTATGATGAAAAAAACCCATCATCATGATCCTGAACTTCAGCTTTATGCAAAAGAAAGTATCTATAAAGCTCCACATACTTCCTTTTCATCAGAAGAACACACACAATGTTTCTTAAAAGAATTAACCAATAGAAGATACCCATGATCACCAATGGCAATGCTCTCAAGAAACAACCTTCTCCTAATCTATTTATTTACACTATAACCCCAAATTGTGGTCAAGTTACATAGATGCACTTGTACAATCAGAATACCTCTACCCAAAAGAATTAAGAGTGATTGTTTCCATAAACACCCTTGGCTTATTATCATCCATGCTATGTTAAAAGGGCTGCTAGGATTAAGCCTCTAATCTAGATGCATGAAATCAAGTTGTTAGAGATAACAAGCTATGTATTGATGGGTGTATATACTACAACAACTCCAATCCACAATGCAACTTATGACAGATGAAAACAAATCTAAAAGTACAGACATTCTACATTTGGGGCCTACAAGATTGGTTACACACCAGATGACATCTATAACCATATATCTACAAAGTTTTCTATGAATTGATTTCATTCAATCAAGATGTATGTATTACTCTTTTGTAAGAATTCAATTGAAAACAATGGGTATTTGTTCTAAGATCCAGATTGTGAAGAGGATACAACACTCACTACTCATAGAAAATATAAATTCAGTAATAAACGCCTGCAACCCTAAGTTTCAAATACCCTCCAACTGCTGAATTCGATTCTGTAAGTAACAAACCTGATAAGAATTTGTGGAACATTTAGGGAACGAGTGAAACGAGGAGTTGTTGCCATCATTAGACTCGTGTTTGACTCTAGATTGAGTGCCAGGAGAATTGGCCGGAAAATAAGCCAAACCCGCCAAAGCCTCGGCGGCTTCCATCTCAATCTTGACCATGTCCGCGATGGGAGTGGATGGAGAAGATGCCCTAATGGTATCCATAATGGAGTTCGAGTATTACAAGTTGGCTGTTGTTGTGAATAGGGGAGGCGGCATAAGTAGTAGGAGTTGAGGGTAGGGTGACACATGTATTGCCATGGCGACTCACGACGGTGGAGGTATGAGGAACCGCCACGTAGAGATGAGGTAGAGGCCACGTTAGCAGAGGTTTTAGGCGATTGGGCAATGGCGGCAACAGAGGCACGTGGGCCTTCGTCATTTACAAGTGGCCAACAGAAACCACCTCCCATCCCTGCTTTCCACACCAATAGTTATCCTCTTTTTTAAATTCTTTCCTTCTGATTCATCACTTTCATCAATTTCAATATCCATTTTTATAATCCCATTTGCTTAGTTCGATTGAATGTTTTTGAGTTATCTACAATTTCTTGTTGTTTTATAAGAATTCAAGAATTCTTTTGAGAAATGTTCTTTTTTATTTAATAAATGGTTAGAATTTCCTCTGTTTTTGAGTCCTACTAAAGGTAATAATAGGTAGGATCGTTTCCTTATGGACTCGATGTTAACTGCAAGTCCAAGACGTAATCACGTGCAATTTCATTAACAATAAAAACATTATATAAAAAAGGGGTTGGATGATTTATAAACAAGTTCAAAAAATGCAAATTAAATAAAGACTTCTAGACGATATACAAAATAGTCTAGCAATGAACATCAATTGATTAATCATGTGAATTATGTATCATCGACCCGACCAAACCATTTTCTCAAAGGATCTCAGATCGGCTTGAACACCAATACGCATTGACATTCTATTTGATATAAAAACTTGACTAATATGAGATGTCTCGATAACTAGCCTCTAATCAACTAATTTAATTCAGTCACAGACTTAATTAAATTAGTTGATTACATTAAGTTCATACAAATACCGAAACCAACCAATAATCGGACGCTGAATATGTGAGTTAGATTATGTCATCCTACAATACATACAATTAACACACTTGCAAACCATGTATTGTTTGCTACCGAGAGAAATTTACAAACAATTACGGATTCACAAATCACTCTAGCAGTTCAAATCCAAATTAGACAGCAAGTGATCCAACTTACAAAATCAAACTTGAATGGGAGAAAACAAAAGAGCACAAGGATTGCATAATGATATCAAAAGATTATAAACAAAATAAAGTCTCAACTTAATCACATTCAAAATCAATTAACTACTTGCTACTAGAAATTTGAAAATTAGCTACCAAATACTTACCAAATGCTTGTAAAATTGGAATTTAGGAAGAACCTTAGAAAACCCGCTCCAAAATTGACTCCAAATCTGAAATTGATTTCTGCCTCTGGTTCTCGTTCCTCTCTTCTGCAGTTCGATCGATTTCTGGTTCTCGTCCCGTTTTTCTCTTAATCGACAGGTTCTGCCCCCTTTCTCCAATAGTTTTTCTCCTATGTTCCTGCCTCTACTGTTTTTACTCTCGTCTCGATCGACTTCTACCCACCTCCCTTTCTGTCGACCGTTTTTTTCCCGCCAAACGTGGTTGTTGCGACTGTTTTGCTGTTGTTTCTTCACAGACTGTTTACTTTGGTCTTTGCAGCTGCTGGGCTGCTTGCTTTGGTCTTTACAGCTGTTGGACTACTTGATTTGGGCCGCAGTTGTTGCTTCCACATGATGAGACCAAAAACACAAAAATCAATTTTTTTTTTTGCCTCATATAATTAAATATCAACTTAAATTAAATTGAACATTTTTAAGCATCTACTTAACATTAATTGCAAGGTCATTTTGACATAAATATGTATAAATTTGTACTTGTCAAATTCCCTCACACTTAGATCATTGTCCGTCCTGACAATAACTAAATTAGCACGTAGTGATAAAAATGAATCAAACAAGAACATCAACACATATAGCATAATGTGAACTCGAGATTTGTAACTAAGCATCGAAAAGTGGGTATACATGCAATTCAAGTAGACGTAAGCTAATCTCGAGAACTCTCACAAATGGGATAATTAGAATAACACTCAATTCACTCTCAGTTCAAAGTGTATCGCTCAATCCATCACTACACTAGCATGTATCTACCATAGGCTTGAAAAATCTCTCACTCTCTACTACTTGGATAAAATACATGCTTATCAATCAAAAGGTATTAACAAGTGTAATGAAAAACAAGGCTTTGGGTACGGTAGAGAAATATTTAGAAAAAGTGACTAAGACCTAACACCAACGGAGAATCCGGCTACTCAACCACACTTTATTTTTTTTTCCACAAAGGACTTTTGTATCTATCTTTGAAGCTCATTCATGTTCGGACGATAGGGAATATAGATGAAACACTTATATTCAACCATATCGTCATTTTCGTCGTCTATTTATTTTTTTTATTGACAACATAATTTTTCTCTTCATATATATATATATATATATATAATTGAATTTTCTATTTTTTTTTTCAAACTTTCCTTTCATTTTTTCTTTATTTCCTTCCCCAACATACAAATCCTACTTTCAAGTATAAAGGGATATTGGGATAACTTCATTGGTGCTTAGTCGGGTGAGTCGTGTTTGGATTGGTTTATGATGTGGGCGACAAACGAAATAGGCTAAGGCTTAAAGTGGTGTGCAAAAGGGATAATCACAACATATAGGGGTAGGCTTAAGGCTAGTGGTTTAACATAAAAATGAGCAAACGATGGCCTTTATCATGTTTATTAGCATGTAGTAATCATGTAGTTATAAGGAGAGAAGGATCAAGTTCTAGAAATATATATCTAGGCATGATGCAATCACACAAGAAATGAATTTGAGACTAATATCAAGTATTTAGTCTAAATAAGCTTAAAGTCTCCCGACGTTTAAAGCTAGCTCAAAAGATAAACAATAGTCTACTTTGATCCCTATACTACCACTTATATACTCTAAGTTCTATCCATCAAGTTCAATCATGCTATACATATATCCATGTTCATCATCATCAACAATTTAAGCTCACTAAAAACATGCTAACGCATTGTCAAAACATACAATGATCCACATTTAAACACAAAAGTTGCAAAAAAAATATCCCTAAAACCATGCATCTACCCAAACGAGTCCAAATCATGCAAATGATCCATACCCCCACATTTAGTCCATACATTGTCCTCAAGGTATGCAATAAGTAGAGGACACTCTAAGCAATGAAGGAAAAGGAACATAAAACTCCCCTGATTTGACGAGTGACCTCCCAATGTAAGAATCCGTGAAGATGGGCGCGTCTCTTCGAGCATCCAACATCTGGGGTGAACATGAGAACACAGGAATCCAGAAGTGAAATTGGAGAATCTAAAAGCAAACTAAATAATTAAAAGCAATAAAGAATAAGAAACGGAAATTCGTGGGTTGCCTCCCACACAACGCCTTTCTTTTATGTCTTTGGCTAGACCATACTCAATTCAATTCTTGTAGCTTGGCGTGTCCAAAGCTACCCTCTCTAATTCCCCTCCATCAAAGCCTTCAAAGAACGGCTTTAGCTTATGGTTGTTAACTTTGAAAATATGCCCCGTAGATAGATTTTGTATTTCTACTGCGCCATGCTAAAAAACAGTTAAAACAACAAAAGTTACTATTCATCTGGACCTTAACTTACCGGGAAATAACTTTAATCTAGAGTGATAGAGAAGAAATTTTTGACCTTTAGTGAAAGACCTACGTGAAATGCGAGAGTCCTGGAACGCCTTGGTCTTCGCCTTATAAGTGCGAGCATTTTCGTAGGCGTCGTTCCGTATATCCTCAAACTCTTGAATTTGAAGCTTAATATGCGATCCCGCTTCATCCAAATCCATATTGCACGTCTTCACCACCTAATACGCCTTATGCTCTAATTCTACCGGGAGATGGCAAGGTTTACCGTACACCAACATGAAAGGAGACATACCTATAAGCGTCTTGTAGGCCGAACGATAGGCCCACAAAGGGTCATTAAACCTCAAGCTCCAGTCTTTCTGGTTGGTATTCACAGTCTTCTTCAAAATGGACTTGATCTCTCTATTTGACACCTCCGCTTGTCCGTTTGATTGTGTATGATAGGCGGAGGAGATGCAGTCGATAACCCCATACTTCTTGAAAGCGCGCCGATGACCTTGTTGCAAAAATGGGTGCCTTGATCACTGATGATGGCCTTGGGCGTCCCAAACCTGGAAAATATGTGAGGTTTGACAAAATCTGCAGCTACATGAGAATCATCAGTTCGAGTGGCCTTTGCCTCAACCCATTTTGAGACATAATCAACGGCCAAAAGAATGTAAAGATTACCACAAGATGTGGGAAAGGGTCCCATGAAATCCATGCCCCAAACATCAAAAATCTCACATACTAGCATAGAAAATTGGGGCATTTGATTCCGGGAACTAATGTTTCCCGTCATTTGGCATCTCATGCAAAGTTTACAAAAACGATAACAATCTCGCATAAGGGTCGGCCAATACGACCCACACTCAGTACCTTATGGTATGTCAGCTTATGGCCGAAATGGCTCCCACAAGCATGGGAATGATAAAACTGTAAAACAGACTAAAACTCCCCTTGGGACACACATCGCCGGATAACTTGGTCCAGACAATGTTTTCAAAGGTATGGCTCGTCCCATATGTAGAGACGAGCCTCTCTCCTAATCTTTTCTCTATTGGGTCTAGATACTCACCTTGGAAGCTCTTTGAAACCAAATAATTAACGATGTCCGCATACCATGAGGTTTCGCCCGAAATGGAGAAAAGGTGTTCATCTGGAAACTCATCAGTGAGTGGGCTTGGCTCTCCATCCATAGCCGGCTAAGGTGGTCGACAACAAAATTTTCAGCTCCGCTCCTATCTCTAATATCCAAATCAAACTCTTGGAGTAAAAGAATCCACCTTATCAACTGTGGCTTTGTGTCTTTCTTCTTGAGCAGGTACTTCAATGCGACATGATTTAAAAAGACAATCACTTTAGTGCCAAACAAATAAGATCTAAACTTTTTTAAAGCAAAAACAACTGCTACCAACTCTTTCTCGGTGGTCGAGTAGTTGCTTTGTGCACAATCAAGTGAT